ACTGTGAAGTAGTTCTTATGGATGTCTAATCTATAAAGTTATTCTTTCTAATCTTTATCTTCACTGTCAGGATTTATAAAATGCTACATATGCTGCAACATGTTGATTGAAACAGATAAGCATGTGTATCAATGTAAATAAAGCTTCATTAAATGTTTATCAGCCCATTGGTGCTGAACCAGAGAGTCTGCTACAGAACTTAAGTGAAAGGTCCGATACTGGAGGGCACGTCTACTCGTGTGCTTCAATGCACATTAGCCTATTTTAATACACATTAAAGCTTCACAAAGAAGCATGCTCTTTAGTTAATGTGCATTAACATAGGCTATAATGCACATTTTTCTAGTACCTCACAATGGAGGTACTAGATTTAATGTCCACTACCTGAAGCGCATTAATGAATATGTAGACATGCTCAGAATTACAGTGATTATGACTAAAAAGGTCCCCTATGGCACTATAATTGGGAAACCCTGTCTGAGAGATTTTTTCCCTTCTGCACCTAGCATAGGAAATAACTCTTGTATTTAAGATTCCACTGGACATCACTGCACAGAGTACAAATGTTGAGTTGTTGATGAAGAGCACTGTAAACTGTAGTAAATATTTTTAGCCCAAATGGGTTTAATAATATTAAGATATAAAGTTCATAACTATGTTTTCTGTTGCTACTTGATTATTTCCAGTTAGCATTTGGGATTGATGAGTTCCAAAAAAAGGCCCCAAAAAACAAAAAACCCAGCTGCTGCAGAAAGGCAGCACTGATTATTCATTAAGGAGCACTCTTTCCACTTAGGTTATGCATGCTCTGGACTCCCAGGAGTGGCTGCAGCTCAAGGTAGACATAGCCAAGCTCTCTCAGGTAACTGGGAGCAGTTTAGCTGTAGCAGTACTGACCTCAACCTGAGCCAATTTACCTAGCCTCAGTGTCACAAATCATGTTGTATCATGATGCTAAAGGAATGATGTATTTTTGAAGGTGCCATCTTTCACATATATAAGGTGTAGTTGATGAAGATCCCACTTTGCTCAATTTTCTTTCCTGGAGGAGTGAAACTGGTGGAGTTCCAGTTATATAAGTGCATTGTGTATACCCAGAAGTGCCCCTGAAGTTTCTGTAGGTACAGATATACTTTTGTCTCACTCTTAAATTGTGTAGCAGTACTATGCACTGTTTAAAAGCTGTGATGTTTTCCATCTCACAGAGGCCAGGCTTCAGTCAAAGATTAAATGAATTCTGTTAGAAAAAAAATTAAAATCTTTCAAAACTCTTGGGATCCTTGAGTGAAAAGTGTTAAAAAATGTTAGTGGTTGTGAATTAACAAAATTCCACTATAGCAGGTCTCTTACAGTGTCTTCCAATGCTATCAAACCAATGACAATCAGATATGTTTATGATCATATCTTGTTTCCAGAGAGACCTTTAGTAGGCAAATAGCTAGGAACAGAATTAGGGTTATAGCAGGGATTATGTTAAGGCAGTTAAAGTATATGTAAAAACTATACGCGTCTGCTTTGTATTAACTGACCTCTCTTACAGTGGCCTTCCTTTCCAGCATTAACCCTGCTTATTCCTGCCTTTCTCCCTTCCAGAATGAATTTCTGATTCCTTATTGGAGGTTGGGAACAGCTACCTTGACGTGCCTCTGCGTTTCCTTCAATGATCACCTGGTCCTGCTCAGTTGCACCTTCTGTCCCAGAAATTAGGTTATTCAGTGAAGTGGCCAACAATGTCTCGCAGCTAGCTTCTGATTTGGGTGCATAACAAGAAGCTCCTGAAATGAGAGCGGTAAATGAAACGGAGATATCAGTCAGTTTTTGCATGACTCTTTTTTTTTACCAGTTTCTTTGAAAAAGTTTCCAAATGGCTTTATGTCTACCTGTTGCTCTTTTGTATTTTGAGACCAGGCTTGGCAAAGGCTGGACACACAACTGCCATGAACAGCATTTTTAAACTCTTTTATTAATGTCAAGAAAGTGATAAACTGACAAAGGTAACCTGTTGCCTTAGCCAAGAGTCTGGTACAATCCCAGAAGGGGAGAAAGTACACTACTGGGATGGGTAAAAAAGTAGGAGCATGCTGTATTGTGGAGATGAATAATTTCTTCCACTACTGTCTGATCTACATTTGCCCATAAAGTAAAGTAAGGTACCTATAGATGTGCTCCGACACATTTTAATTAGAACACATTAGAGCAGACTCAGTGAATCAAGTCTATTCCTCATTCTAATTAGAACGTTCCAGCATCGCTTCACTTTCATAAGTATTAAGCCCCTGTGCATTTCACAATGGCCATGGGGGCGCTATATCTAAACCTCATCAAATGAACTTTAGGTAAAGTGTCCTGTGGCCATTTTGAAATGTGTGCAGGGCCAGATTAACCCTTTAATGGGCCCTAGGCAAACAAACTTGTGGGCCCCATGCTGGCCGAGACCCCCCTTCCCACCCTAGCGCTGCCGCCTGCAGGGAGCAGGGCTCAGAGCTGCTGCTAGGGGGTGGCCACCACCAGTGGTGGCATTAGGGTTGTTGGGGCCTTGGGCAAGAGACTGCCCTGGGCAGTCACATGGTTTGCCCTCCCCTAAGGCCACTACTGTCACCATGGCAGCAAGGCCAGCAGAGGGAAGGGAAGGGAAGTGAAGGAAAGGAGATAGAGCCATTTGCACCACTGCAGAGGGAAGGACCAGGCCCCCACATCCCACAGCTCAGGGCCCTAGGCATGTGACTAGTTTGCCTACACGTTAATCCAGCCCTAAATACACAGGAGCTTAATACACGTGATGGTGATCTGTTTTAATTAGAGTGGCTGTCCAGGAACTGCTCTAATTAAAACAACCCCGTCCCCCCACAAGCCTTGAGCACATGTATAGACAGGCATAGAGTCTACCTGCATAATATGAATCTTTTAATTTAGTTTAACTTCTAGACTCTCCACATAAATTATTTCACATCCCTCAGGTATCTCCAGCTAGTGCGCAGTAAAAGAGTATCTCACTTAAGCTAAGATTCTAGGCCAGGGTTGGGCAATTATTTGGGCTGGAGAGCCACTTAGGGAGTTTTGGTAAGCTGTTATGGGCTAGGTCAGCAGTCCTTCTCCCCACAACAGCTTACCAAAACTCCCTAAGTGCTCTGCCCTGTGCTTAGCTGGGTGGATGGGATGGGGCTATGGGCCGGTGGGGAGTGGCATCCTGAGCAAGGTGGGTGGCTGGAATTGAGATTATGGGCCTGTGACAGCATGAGGATGGGACCCAGGGCAGAGCTGTGATCCACTCCCCGCATGCCCACTCACAGTGATGTGTGGGGAATGGATCGTGGCTCTGCCCTGGGCCCTGGCCCTGCAATCCTGATCCCAGCCCAGGCCCCAGCCCCACTCCCACCCCCGCCCACCCATTCAAGCTTGTTCCTGCCCGGTGATGGCCCTGTCCATCCACCCAGCTGAACGCACCTTGCCTGTGGGGGTCCTAGGCCCTGCTCACCTGCTCCATCCAGTGTCCCTGGTGGTGGGTGCAGAGCAGATGGGCCAGAGGGCCCAGACAGTGGGCCTGGGCCTGGTAGTGGCAACAGAGACTGGCAGCAGTAGCTGGAAAGAGCTACCACTGAGGGGGACACTGGGAAGTGAGTCTGGCCACTGTGCCACCCCAGACCTGCTGTGTGCTTGGGGGTGGCAGGAACGGCTGCATGCGCCATGGCCCAGGCTGTCCCCCACACCTGGGCTGGGGTGGGACTGAGGGACCCGCCATGGGCATCCTGCTAAAATCCTTTAGCAGGTCAGATTTGGCCTGCGGGCCATATTTTGCCCTGGCTAGAATCTAGGTTTACGGGATTGATATTTATCCTCAGATACTGGTATGTAACTCCAAGAAACTTAACTGGGATTAATGGGCATGTATACAATGCCCCAGGAGTGGGGGGAGGGACGGAGCATTTTAATTAGTGCAGCTCCAAGAGCCACTTTAATAAAAGTGCCCAGAGTGTCTTATGTATCAGCATCCCTGTGCTGAAAAATGGTGGTGGGTGTGCTTTCACTAAAGCTCATCAAATGTGCCTCTGCCACCATTTTTCAGCACGGGGATGCTGAACATGAGATGCTGCAGTCTAACTATTACAGTGTTTATTGCGCTTCAGCAGACTTGATTAATCGATAACTCAATTAAGCCTTGCTGCTTGTGTATTAGGTGCCCTATATATTTGCAAAATTTGGCCTTAAATAGGTAATAATAATGCTTATTTTTTAATGAGAAAAAATAATGTACCTCTAATCCTTTCTGCTGTCCTGAAATGCAGTTTAGTTTGTATCTCCTAGGTTTTCCAATATGCACAGGAAAATTATTTGACTGCAGTAGCAATGGTATTTTTATATGCACTACTACAATGATTTTTTTAAATCCTGATCCATATGAAGGTGTTAAAATCAATAGACTGATAGAAAGCAGTTACTGCTTTTTGCAGTGCTGAGTCAGTCTGAGCAGACCGGTGACAGAAGAAACCTTGTGAAAAGCACAAGAAAGGAGGATGACCAAAATACTATGGATCGTGTTACACAGGTCAGACTGGGACTAGGTTCTGAAATCTATTAAAGCAAACTCATGGAAAAGAAGAATTGAAAAGGAGGTAGATAAAGGGTGAAGTGTGGTACCAAGAAGGGAAGTTGAGAGCTGATATAAATGGAGTGGTAGAAATATATGGAAATATCATCCTTCTGCTCAAGATTTGCAAAGTCTTTAGATTTTGCCAAGGTTTGACATCTACACCTCAAGAGTCACTTTGGTGAAAGATGAGCAGTGCCAAAAGCTGCTGCCTTTTCAAATTCTTGATAAATGGAAAAGTTTCTGAACGTTCTTCCTTCCTGTTTAAAATGCATTTAAACATAGAAATGGATTCAGACAAATCTTTTAACATATTTCTATTATTCTCTGACTTTTAAAATACTTTCCATATGGGATAATAATTTCCAAAGCCTGTTTCATACTAACCATTTGAAATTCAGGTTAAGGGACTAGCTGTTACTGTGGAAGTCAGTGGGACCAGAGGAAGTAAGAACTGCAGGAGTTGCTGATGTTAACCAGGATACTTGTGCTATCTACGTCTACAGACCATATCTTATTTAGTCTGTAATATAAATGTGCATATATACCCTGCCTTCTAACCCGCATGCTGCCAGCTGACAGTATTTTCAGATGCTGTGATAAGTCATGTTGAAGATTGTTGTGGATTACAGTGACAAAGGATGGTCACATGCTCATGTTTTTCTAAGGGGCAGAGGAGAAATTCTGGGAACGCTTTCTTCCCACATTTCACATTTCTCTCCCCAACATTGTGATAATCCTCTTTTCAGACAAACATGGTGACTATTTCTGTATCTCACTGTATGCATCTGCCATTGGGCCTTATTCCATACATCTGCCAGAGAGCCTAGGTATTTATATTGAGTATTTCTTTCTCTGTTGCCTCTATAGCAACAAATCTTAGAAAGTTAGGGTTGGAAGGGACCTAAGGAAGTCATCTAGTCTAACCCCCTGCTCAAAGCAGGACCAGCCCCCGCTAGATCATCTAGCCAAAGCTTTGTCTAGCCAGGTTTTGAAAACCCTCTAGGATGGAGCTTCCACCACCTCTCTGGGTAACCTGTTCCAGTGTTTTACTACCTTCCTAGTGAGAAAATTCTTCCTAATATCTAACCTAAACTTCCCTTGCTGCAAATTGAGACCATTGCTTTTTGTTCTGTCATCTGCCACCGCTGAGAATACCTTAGCACCATCCTCTTTTGAACCCTCCTTCAGGTAGTTCAAGACTGCTATTAAGTCTCTTCTCAGTCTCCTCTTCTTTTGACTAAATAAGCCCAGTTCTCACCCAGTCTTTTCTCTTAAGTCATATCCCCCAATCCCCTCACCATTTTTGTTGCCCTCCACTGGGCTGTCTCCAATTTGTCCACATCCTTTTTGTAGTGGGGGGCCTAAAATCAAACACAGTACTCTAGATATGGCCTCACCAGTGCTGAATAGAGGGGAATAATCACTTCCCTTGACCTACTGGCAACAAACACCTACCAGTGCAGCCCAGTATGCCATTAGTTTTCTTGGCAACAGGGGCACACTGCTGGCTCATATTCAGCTTTATTGTCCACTGTAACCCCCAGATCCTTTTTTGCAGAGGTGCTGTCCAGCCAGTCAGCCCCCAGCCTGTACTGGTGCATGGGGTTGTTCTCTCCTAAGTGCAGGACTTTGCACTTGTCCTTGTTGTGCCTCATGAGATTTCTTTTGGCCCAATCCTCCAATTTGTCTAGGTCACTCTGAATCCTAGCCCTACCCTCCAGCATATCTACTGCTCCCCCCAGCTTGATGTCATCTGCAAACTTGCTGAGGGTGCACTCTATGCCATCTTCCAGGTCGTTGATGAAGACATTGAACAAAACCAGCCCCAGGACCAACCCCTGGGGGCTCTTCACTTGGTACTGGCTGCCAACTAGACATTGAGCCATTGATTACTACTCTCTGAGCCCAATGTTCTAACCAGTTTTCTATCCACCTTACAGTCCATTCATTCAGCCCATACGTCCTTAGCTTGCCTCTGAAAGTGCTGTGGGAAACTATCAAAAGCTGTGCTACAATCAAGGTACACTACATCCACCTATCTCCCACATCCACATCTAGTCAGTCACCTCATCATAGAAGGCAATTATGTTGGTCAGTCATGACTTGCCCTTGGTGAATCCATGCTGACTCTTCCTAATGAACTTTTTCTCCTCCAAGTATTTAGAACTGAATTCCTTGAGGAGCTGTTCCATTATTTTTCCAGAAACTGAGGTGAGGCTGACTGGTCTGTAGTTCCCTGGATCCTCTTTTTTTTCCCTTTCTTATATATGGACACTATAATTTGCCCTTTTACAATCATTTGGGACCTCTCCTGATTGCCATGATTTTTCAAAGAGGATGGCCAACGGCTCTGCAATCACATCAGCCAACTCCCTCAGCACCCTTGGGTACGTACATCCCATCTGGTCCCATGGATTTGTACACCCAGCTTTTCTAAGCAGTCTCTAACCTGTTCTTTCACCACTGAGGACTGCTCATCTCCTCTCCAGATTGTTCTGCCCAGTGCAGTAGTCTGGGAGCTGCCCTTGGCTGTGAAGACTGGGGCAAAAAAGGCATTGAGCACTTTTCTGCATCCTCTATTACAAGGTTGCCTCCCCCACTCAATAAGGCAGGGTTTTCCAACCTTTTTAGATCGAAGACCAGCAAACTGCAGACCGGAACTGCTGGTCCACCGTATGTTGGTGACTTCCAGTCCACAGTTTGCTGGTCTGTGGTCACTTCTGGTGACACTGCGCAGGGCCCTGTGGCTGGAACTTCCAGCTGAAACAATGGTAAAGATATCTTCACATGGTGGGCAGGAGGGAGGGACCAAACCTCAACCGCAGCAGCCATCACTGCAGGATAGGACAGGCTGGCCCTCCTGTGGACCAGCAGCCGACCCTTTGTGGCCCAGCACTGGGCCACGGCCTGGGGGTTGGGAACCCAGTAAGGAACCCACACTTTTCCTGATCCTCCTCTTGCTACCAACATACTTGTAGAAACTCTTCATTACCCTTCACATCCCTTGCTAGCTGCAACTCCAATTGAGCTTCGGCCTTCCTGACTTCATCCCTGCATGCCTGAGCAATGCTTTTATATTCTTCCCTAGTTATTTGTCCAAGTTTCCACTTCTTATAAGCTGCCTTTTTGTGATTTAATTTCATTGCAATTACATTTGTGATTTAATTTCATTGCATCCCTTTCTGCTTTGGAAGTGCATATTACAAATTCATTCCTTGTTTTGGCAGTACAACATGTTTCAGACAAACTATGGGAGGGCCATATATGATCTATATATCATGTGCCCTGTAGCAATCTTCACTTTAGTACAGAGATATGGCATTCAGGAACTACAGGTACCAACATGCAGTGCTCCATCTTGATTTGGTAAGAAAGCACTGGGATCTATATGTGCACTGCATGTTGGAGTCTGTAGTCTATATAAGCCATGTCTCTACAGTCAAGGGGAGAGTGGCTGCTATCTGTTCCAACTAATGCAAAATAGGTACAGCTCTCTAGCTGCAGGCTGATTCCTCCTTGCCCCTTAATTTAATGAACTGTTTTTATTTCAGATCCAGTTTTGCATGTCCTTGATTGATATTGACATAAAACACCTTAACATTCATTTTGCAAATGAAGCTCTGTATTGTTTTCTGGGTGCCCTCAAACATGCTTTATTTACATTTACTAAGTTAGCCACTCTAACAGGCTGAGCAGGAATGAACCTTGTAGAACTGGCAAAATATTGTAAGGTCTGCTTTTGTGAGATACCCAGCCTTGTTTTCCCATGTCAAAGTGGTTGGCTAATTCATATGACTTTGGGTAAGCAGTTTGAATACTGGGGTGTTTATCTGATCCAAATCTGTTGACATTTAGAATCATAGAAAATTAGGGTTGGAAGGGACTGCAGGAAGTCATCTAGTCCAACCTAAGTAGATCATTCTAGTCAGGACTTTGTCAAGCTGGAACTTAAAACCTCCAAGGATGCAGAGTACTACAGCTGATAATACCTCTTTGTTTCTTTGTTTTGCTCTTGGAGTGGTTTTGCAACTGAACAAGCAAAGGAAGGATTAAAAGTTCTTCTGGAGGATTTCCATGGGTCCTCTGGGTTCTGGGTGTTCCTTCTGAAATTGAAGGTAACTTCAGCATCTCTGACACAAGCTGTAAAATATAAATCTAAGATAATAATGGAAAATACTTGGGTACTTCCATTTTTATTCCATTCCAGAAGACTACCTTCAGGTGGCTTGGTGGTACAGTAATGTATTATAATCTCCAAATCCAAATGGAATCAAGGGACCAATTGAAAGGTCTGAATCGAGTCGAAGCTCTCAGAATCAATTCAGAATAGATTTGGAGAGCTTCAGTGATTTGGGCAGTCCCCACCCGCTGCAGCAGGGAGCTGGACCCAGACTCTATGCTGATAAGTAGGGGGCAGGGGAAAGGGGGGCTGGAGGAGCAGGGAGGTGACCATGGGGGGACCCCTGCCAGGCCCCATCCCCTACCTGCTCCCCCAGCCCCACCAAGTGCCCCCTGACCCCCACCTGCTCTCCCAGCCCCACCATGGCTTCCCCCTGCCCCAGCTGTTGTTTAAAAAAAAGCCCCTACTCACTGGGTGCTGCCCAGCAGGAGGGTGATCCCTGCTGCCCCCCCACTGCCCCACGATGCATGGGGGGCTCTGCCACAAACCTCTCAACTCCTCCCCACTCCCCCAGCCCCCCCCATGGCTACCCCACTTGCCCCAGCTATGGCCTTTTAAGAAAACAAAACAAAACAAAACAAAACAAAAAAAACTTCTGGACTTACTGGCTGCTGCAGTGGCCTCAGGGCTTCTAGGGGCTTGTGCAGAGCCCCCGAAGCAACGCAGGGAAGTGGAGGGCAGCAAGGATCGCTCCCTCCTGGGAGGAGCCAGTGAGTTTGGGTTTTGCTTTGTTTTTTAAAGGGCTGAAGCTGGGGCAGGCAGGGCAGCTGGGTGAGCATGCAGGGGGCTCGTGGCAGAGCCCCCCTCGTAGTGTGGGGCAACAGGAGACAGTGGGGATTGCACCCCCCCCCCCCCCGGGCGCCCCGGGGGGGGGGGGGGTTTTTTTTTCCCAAAAAGCCCGA